ATGACCTACTGTTCAAATTTATTCAATTTATATGAAATAGAACTGCAGAGACTCCAGATGTGTGGATTATGCCTGTATTTTTCTCAAAATCTCATTTGTATTTTTGTCAGGAAATCTGCTCTGCACTGTGTAATGGCTGTTCCTCCACCAGTACCAACTTCACTAACCTTGTGTGAATGCACCATGAAGGCATGCAGATAATTCCTAAAAGCTGTTGACAGCTTTAGGATTACAGTTTTTTTTGACTTATATTTTATTTCTGTGTTTCAGAACTACTTGTGGAAACAGCAAACACTTAACTCTCTTTTACCTGGATTTATGAGGGCTGAGTGATGTTCAGCAATGTGCTAGGATAGACTGTAGTAAACATAGTTTTGTACTCATAAAATGGAAAAGCAAGTTAGCAGTTTACCAAAATTTACAGTTTACAGCATATATTACATATGAGGTATGTGTAGTCTCACCATGTGCTGATCCTAAAGTAATAACTGAAGCTTCCGGAGTTCAGTACAAGTTTTCTGAGTGATGTTTCATGTATCACTGTGTGCATCCATTATCATTTTTTCTTTTAAATACAGGTTTAAAAAACGAATGCTAATAGAACAGCTTGAGAGTTTTCTGGAAGAAATCCATCGCAGATCCAATCAGGTCAACCATATCAACAGCAGCTAAGAAATTGCACACAAGAGAAAGCCACAGCAGGGCACTGCTGTCCTTAATTGCATTCATTTTTGACATGCACTCTTATCTCCAAGTTCCTGTACCTGAAAGAATGAGAAGCTGCTCTATAAAATGATGAGAAGAGTATCCATCATCTTTTTTTTTTCCTTCTGTTATTTTTGTAATGTGAAAAATATTACAAGAAATTTTTATTTAACTAAATGGAGAACTTCTTGCTTGTCATGGACATAAGTGTCACTTTCCCTCAGGTTCTATTTTTCTTAATCCAACCTTCAAAACTATCACCTCTCAAGGTTGAACTTTGCCAAAAAGTTGCTTTGTAATTTTCAAAAAAAAAAAAAGCACATACATTAAACAAGGTAATGTTTTGTATATACAGTTATTTTGGATATATTATTGTAAGTTGTATAAATGTATTTTGAAATATATTTAAGAAAAGCACTTTTGTTATTCCATCAATAAAATCTCTATTTTAATCTTTGTGTAGGATGGAGTACAGTTTTTATTGGAGTGATTCATTTTGCCTTCCCTTCTCAGAGCTTTATATATTCTGGTATCATTGTTAAAGGATTAAGTAGTTTCATATTACTGGGTATTCCATTAATCAGAGAATGGGTGAAAGAAAGCTAATGCTGAATTGCAACTACATTTGGATGATATCTTGTGTACTTAGCCCTTCACTTTTGTGGTGTTCTGTATGCCCATTTGCAGCAGTGACAAACCTCTCAGTTTTATTGAGAGATAGAGTGGGGTAAAGCACAATCAGTAGTCTTTGAGAAAGGCTGTGCAGGGTTTTCCTGTGTCAGAAGTTTTTGTGTTTACAAGTGCAGGAATAGCCAGAAGGTGCTGCTGCTTGGACACAAAACATCACTGATTGCTTTACTGGCCTTGTCCTTCGTCAGTGCTAGATGAGCCCTGAATTTCTGTAAAGTGCTCTTTGATTAAGTGGGAGCTAAAATAAACAGTCCTCTGCTTTTTGTAGAAGTCAGTGATTTGCAGTCTTCACCCAGAATCTCTGGGCCTTGGGTTCTGGTGCTTGTACTGTGAGTTGCTGAACACTTGCTGTATCCCAGCTTTTGCCAGGATCATAGAATCATAGAATTAACTGAGTTGGAAGAGACTTCTGAGATCATCAAGTCCAACCCTTGATCCAACCCCACTAGATCATGACAGTGCCACATCCAGCCTCGTCCTAAAAACCTCCAGGGACGGTGAATCCACCACTTCTCTGGGCAGGCCATTCGAATGTCTGATCACTCTCTGTAAAGAACTTCTTTCTAATATCCAACCTAAACCTCCCCTGGCACAGCTTAAGCCTGTGCCCTCTTGTCCAGGATGCTGAAAAAACCCTTACATTTTCTAGATGCTTTTGGCTTCATTCAGTGTTCCTGGGGAGTGTCCATTTTATGTTGTATACACCTCAAAGGTAGTAAAAGTATTAATGCTACTTTTTTTGGCAATAATATTTGTTTGGTCACTGATTGAGTGGATGTTCCTGCTTCCTGTCTACTCTGACTGGAATAGGCTGCCCAGGGAAGGGGTAAAGTCGCCGTCCCTGGGAGTGATCAAAAAGTGTGTAGATGTGGTTCTTAGGGACTTGGTTTAGTGGTAGATTTGGCAGTGCTGGGCTAATGGCTGGACTTGATGATCTTAGACACCTTTTCCAACCTTAATGATTCTATGATTCTGTGCCAGTTTTGAAATAACCTTTCAACTTTATTTTCTTTTCACAGAATCTTGCTGTTTGCTTGATACCTTACTATCTCAGCTGGATTATATCTGTCTGGGGTCAGACTGAACTTCAGTTTTATTCTTGAGCTTTTGACTGCAGGACAGGGAAATGAAATTGTGCTTGAAAAATAACATCACAAAACTTTCTTGTAAGATGCTTTCATTCAGATGACCTACATACTCAGCAACAGCCCTGCTTTTTAGCCATGATGAAGTTGAGCAGAAGCTGTTGGCCTATGCTATTAAATATTTAAGGGGCAAAATCTCTTTTTTTCTCAAATGTTTATGTGCTTACTGTCTGCTGTAGTTGTGGTGCTCATGATTCCTAGACAGCTATAAGTTTCCAACAGTGTGTACAATGTAATAAAGTAGTGGAGGGCTTACTTTCACTTTTTCTTGTAAAAGTGTTACTGCTTAAAGCAGTGTTTAATAAATACATATAATGTAGCCTTTAATTTCGTTGGAGGAATGCTCACCACAGGAGGAACAGAAGACAGTGTATTTGTTTAGTGCTTATCATGAAGGATTTATGACTCTTCCTATAAAGAGTACTGAACCTGTAAAGGAAAACAATGTTATTTCAATTTGGGAACTTACTTTCAAAGTGTAGTTCAGTTTAAATACGTAAACTAAGCATGGAATTAGCAGATCATGGAATCACTCATTGCTTGTATGGAAAAACTGACTGCAATTGCACCCTTGTTTTTAGAAGAATTTGAACATCTCTGTATTTAAAAACAAAAAGACTTTTCCAAATAGTTCTTAACCCCAAATTAGAAGTTTGCCAAAATCTGAAACCTACCTAAACCATTGGCTAAAGATTCACTTCTGAACTGAGGAAAACAGAGCCTGAATTTGTTGCATTGTGTTCATATTTGTTGCAGAAAAGATTATTACAACCCCTTGAATGAAATCACTGCCTCAGATATACTGCATTTGTTGTTTGTATTGCTGGTACCTTGCCTGTCCTTCAAAGGGAATGTGTTCAAACCTGAAATTCAGATTAAAAAACTAACTTTTTAAATTATTTTGAGCAGAACTATGCCATTTTAAGTCTTGGAAAATATATTTCTACTCTTACTAGAAGATTGATGCAATGAAGACTCTTAGTCTATATAAAGATTCACTCTGAACTTATGGACATAGTGAGTTTTAAATACCTCTAGATAGGTTGGTGAAATATATTAGCAGTTGATCTTGTTTACCCTCCCCTTCTCATACCTGAAAAACTTGTCACTAAGTCTGAGCAAACAAAATGACTGGCATTAAAAAGCTAAAAGTACAGAAATATACTTCTGATTTTGAGTTGATTGGAAAGAATTTTATACTTCACATAAATATCCTCTTTTACAATGTGATTTCCTTTCTTTATATAACGTATACTGTAAACTGAGCCATTTTATTCACCAAAATTAGTTTGCTCTTAATCTTTGCTCTGAAGTCTATGGCTCAGGCTTCATAGATGAACTTATTGCTGCCTCTTTATTTTAAAATTCTGCGCTAGCCAAGTAAACATACTTTTATTCATTAACTGGTAATGATTGCCAAAGCATATTTAAAACAAAACATCCACCAAGGTAGTGATTTTTCTCTTTAAAAAATAGCTGCTTGCATTGTGATGTTGAAAGGTTAAGATACGGGTTTTTAAAGCACACTATTGCATACACAGGTATTCACTGACTAAGAGAAGAGTGTGTTGCTTGGAAGCAGGTAAGGATAATTATTCTCTCTGGTCTTCTTGCTAGGCCCCAGTGTTTTACTGAACTCTATAAGTTACTGTGTTCCCTGGAAATCTAAACAGATGTGATCACCAGTTATGAGAGAAAGTTGGTGGTTTGAAGGATTTACTTAGGCTGCAAATTTACTGCATTGCTGAGAATAGTAAGAGCAGTTGGAGATGGCCTTAGGCTTCAGAGGAACAAATACCTGCTAAATGGTGCATGTTGCAATTATTTATTATTGCCAATGAGCTATATGGTGTTTTCTTTTGGCAGAGATTCTGGAGTAATGCAATTGGACATCTGAAATGAGACAATAATATTGAAACTAAAGGAGCACTGTGATGCTTCACTCTCAAGACATGCTCTGCAGTTTTGTTTGTGTTTTTGGTTGGATTTTTTTTGTTTGGGTATGGGGGCGGTCAAGAAAGAAAGTCACCAGTTGCAAAAGAAATGCCTTTTTTTTTTTTTATGGCAGAAGTCTGTTCGCTGTTTGGCATCAGTATAGGCATGAGTAAGTTGCATTCATAGGGAAAGATTTCTATTTTAACTACTTCCAGTTTTAATCCAGCCAGTTTGTAATTTGAATAGCCCTGTGGAGTTCAGTCCTTAATGCTGAAGCATTTAAGATCTGTAAGATCTTTCTAGTACCTATAACTGGTGGAGAAATCTCTGAGCTTCTACTGCATGTCTAGAGAAGAGGCTAATCTTGCTTCCCTGACTTCTATGACTGTTGTGCATTCTTTTCAAGGAAATTCAGCTGTATTCTTCATGCTTTAAAAACCCAACCCCCACTGTTCCCATGTTTGATGAAATTTCCTGGATTGAAGAATGGCAGGCTATTTACAAAGAACTTGTATTGATTTCAGTGTTACTTGTGAAGGATTCTGCTCCTGAAAGGCAGAGCATGCATACCTGTATTAGCTTGTCTCAGAAAAAATGTGAAGGGTCGATCTGCTTTGAAAATAGGTGTTCGAGATCTTTTTAGTAATACCATTGCTGTAATACAACAAAAAAAACATTAGTAAAATGCATCCATTTTCTTTGCATCTTTTGTACAGTGCCCTCAAGCTCCGATGTTCAGTACCTTGAGTTTTGAATTGCTCCTCTGCTTTAACTATAAAACAAAAATTTTATCCAACAGTGAAATCAGTCTGGTTGAATTAATGAGTCCAGAGCTGTGAGACTACATGCAGGTGATTGCGTGTATTTTGATGCTGAGGTGAGTCCTTCTGGCTTTGGATTTCAAAGGTAATGTAATTTTTGATGTCGTTGCAGCCCTAACTCTGCTGAAGTTGTACCATGCTATTGCCGCACCTGTTAGCCAATTCCTGGCTATGCTGTTCTGATGAAAAAGATAAGCAAGGCACAAACGTAGTCCCTCTTCTAATTAGGAGACATGCAGCAGAGAAGTATCTGTCATCCTGGAATTTCCCTTGGCAGAGCTCTGAACAAAACCAAAGTATCCTCAGTCTCAAGTTATAACTGATTTTGCCCTCCCTGTGGGTTAATTATTAGATTAAATAAAGAATCCTTGAGAATTATGATGGCTCAGCTACTTTTAAAACACATCTTCTTTAAATAAATTCTTCCTTGTAGCTATGGTAGTATTAAGAATGCATTGTCAAAACATCCCAATACTAAAACCACCAGATTCGGATTATTTTTTGAGAAGTTAAAACAATGGAATTAATTTGAAGACTCAAGTAAGACACAGTAAAACTAGTTTGAGAGGCAGTGTTTTAATGCTCCTGAAAAAGTGCCTAGTTTAGCCTTTCAAGCCACTATGAAACTAGATCCATAACTTTTAAAGTAAACAAATATATTTTAAAATCAGCTTCTTAGCTTGGTCTGACTGGAGTTAGGGGAAGTTTTGGCATTGATTTCAGTGGGATAAAGGTCTATTACCCTTAGATTGAAGCCATCTAAAAGCTTTTTTGTATAGGGACTACCAGAAAAATTATTAAAAATAATAGAAATGAACATGGTTTCAAAATTTAAAACTACAGCTCTGCAGAAAGGTTAATTGATTACATCAATTTTTTGCTGTGCACCCACCTGTGTACTACACATGTTGGATTCAAAACTGTTTCTGGAGTAATTCTTTAAATACATCAACTCAACTGTGCCCAGGTTCCTTTTGGCATTGTGACTGTGGCATGTTTGAGTGAGGGAGTGTGCACACTGCAGTGATGTTCACTGCTCTATGTGCCTCTTGAATTCCTTCCTGGAAGCAAGGAGGAGAAGTGGGAGAGACTCAGATCTTGCTCTGATCCAGAGTCAGACCACCACTTGTATTTGCATTGTGCCTGTGGAGCGCATCTACAGTTGGCACAGCGCAGGGAAGGAGAAAGGTGAGAGGTGGTTAATGATCACCCAGCTGCCTTGCTGATGATTGAACTGGCTTGAGGGCGAGTTCAGCCTCTTCAGAGAATGTAGTCAGTCCATAGCTGAGATTTTACTCTGAATCTCCCTGTTCACCCAACACCCCAGCTGCTCATGTGGAAATGATCCTGTAGCAGAAGCTACTGCATGTGGTCACATTTCAAAGTATGTAAGAATCACGCCTGTCTTCGTAAAACTTTCCCATCGTTACTTTTAGTGCTATCAAAGAGATCATCTTCAAATCTCATAGCAGTTCAGGTGCTATAGATAAAATATTACTAACCTTTTCTCATTATTTGTTTTTATGATCTGAGTAAACATATTTGACCAACAGAAAAATAAGTGGTTTATTCTCTCAAGCAGCATTTTCCCTGGGTTGATAAAGTTGTTTTTCCTTAGAACCTTTACATGTCAGACTGAGATAAAAAATTAAAGATTCTTATGAGCATTTATGAAGGTAAAATAGAATTATGTTAAATAAAATGTTTAAATTTGGATTAGGCATACCATTAAATGCTACCATGCTTGTTTGCTTTATTTTAAATAAAAGTCTAGTAGTTGATTTAGTAATAGGCTCCAGAAGTTATGTCTGTATATTTGATTTACCTGTAGCTCCTGATGCCTTCGTACCATCTTCTGTTATTTCAATCTCTGCTTTGTGAATAACTTCTGAAATATAAAGACTGTCTTGATCTGCAAAAAATCATGTTAATAATTATTTTCTGAATTCCATTACAAACTTATTTTTAAAAATAATCAGAATGCTTTTACTCTTTTTCCCGCAGAATCTAAGGATCATATGACTGTTAGGTATTTTAACCATCTTTGACTGTTTTCCGCCTGTATGGACAATAGTGGACTGAATGCTGAATGGGAATTACTAGTTTGAGAGGTCTCCAGGTTGTGGTGGAAGGTAATGTTACATGGTGAAAGTAGAAACTAATTAACTTGGTGAGGACAAGGCAAGAACTGAGGAACTGTTGAAAGGAAAATGGCAGAAAAAAAATGCTCTTCAGGAAGAAACAATGGGACTGTGACAAAAAATGGAACTTGGAAACAAAAAATATTTCAGAAAGCTACTGTGATGGGTATTACAAGCCTGCTTCTCTCCAGCTGACTGAGGAGGGCAGAAAGCAGGGAAGGTTGGCAGACTTTTTTTTCTTGTCAAATACTTCTACAAGCCTCATCCTCTGATGGAATCCACCAGGATGCGTACATAGGAAGGAAGCTGCTGAATTATGTTCTTTATGGAGTTAATTTCCTCCAAGCATGTATCTTATTTAAATAGATATTAACTTTTATAAAATACATCCTTGTGCACTTCATCAGTATATTAATATTTGTTTGCAATAAACAAAGCAGCAGGCTTTAAGAAAAAAGTGAGCAGTAAAACTATTTTAATGTGCATCTGTTCGCAGTCTGAGATATAGAACAGCAATAGAACATGGCTATGTTCAGTTTTAAAGGTGACTTGAAAAACTCCATGAGAAATGTGCCTTCTGAGGTTCATCCCAGGAAAGTAATTTTTCTGTAAGAGCAGGTTTGAATTGAAGGAATTTCAGTTATTCACTCTCATGCAGAAGAACGTAGCTGCTCTCTAGCCTGCTCTCACTCTGAATCTTTACTAAGAGCAGAAATGACTAAGGTGAAATTCTTTGTGTTGCTGGAAATAGTCAAAGGAGAAAGAAAATGCATAATTTGGATTCTTTTTGGTTTTAATATTAAATAGGAGCAAAAATCTTCCAAGGAGCAGAAGAATTTCAGGCTTCCAAAACCAAGAGTTTAATCATAACACCAATATTTTAGCAAAGTATAACTTCATCCACTGCTCACTTGCTTAGCAAGATAACATAGCCTGGGCATATACCACTACTGTTTGTAGTATCAGGAGCTGAAATACAGACTTGTTGGTCCAGCATCCCTAACTGTTAAATGACTATTTAAAAACACAAAATAGGATGCTTTAGTACAACTTGCATTCCTAAATTTCTGAGTAAATAACCATTTTCCAGGCCTATGCCATCTTGACAGTTTTAATCTTAGAGGAAACAAAAGGAAAGTGAGCTTAAGACCCGAACAAACCCTGTCCTTTTCAGGTTCCTCTTTTCCACAAAAAGCTCAACATTTTGTCAATTGCCATTGATAAAGTAGAGCAGTTGAGTGTGATCTGTGTTTTAGAGTTGCGCAGAGAAAGCAGTGCAACTAATTCAGAAGACTCAGGTCTACCAAATAATTTACAGATGAGAGTCTACAACTGTTGGGTCAAGGATCATTTTGTATTCAGTCAAGTCTCTTACCTGAAATGCTTTTAAAATTAGCAGTGATGGGATCAAATGCGTCTCTAATTCCCAAGGCAGAAAAAACTGTCTTTAGGTCAAAAAGGCTTTGAATACTGAACCTGAAATTATGATGATAGATTTTATTTAAATGCAGGATTTTCATAGAGTTAAAAGCATAACAGATGCAATTTGTTTCAAGCCTTTCCATTTCATCCATCTATTCCTGTATGAACCCAGTGCATGCTGTCTGATTAAGTGTACTTTGCGGAAAAGCATCTCATCTTCACCTGAAGATGTTAACAGAAGGAATCCCTCACCACCATCTGTTGCAATCAGACTGCCTTTCAGTCTTCTTGACATGTGAACTTCATTTTTCCAAGTTTGGCTATAGCAAGTGGCACTTTGAAACACTTGCCAGTGATTAGCTTGGAGAAAAAGAATATTAATATATACACAGTTTCTCAGTGCTTTATTAATGTGATGAATGCAGTGTAAGAGATGTGTAATGAAGCCCTTCCAAGCTGATCCAATAAGTACAGCCACAAAAGGCTTGCTGCACCTGATTCCTTCTGCTATGCAATTTCATTGGAATAGATGATAGAAAATACCTGCAGGGTGTGCGTGTTTGTTAACAACAGCACATGACTAAAGTGAAAAATAAATGACGTGAACTTGGTTTGTACATGGAAAGATGGGTATGACTATGAGGGTAGGGGGTGTGCACAAGTTCTTTGTACAGTGCCTTTTTGCAGTACACTGACAAGTTTAAAAAACACGATATTGTGTCTTTACAAGTTTGTATATTTTTTTTTCTCCCTTAAGCAAAGAGAAAAATGGAGTGTGGGAAAGGTCCAGAAACATATCTCTTTTAGATCCTTAAAGGACTGTTAACCCCAAACAAATTTTAAGTAAAACCTCGTAGGATCAACTGAAATACTTAGTTTTTTTTTTTAAACAGTACAGAGCATACCACAAAGTCTTGTCATTCCCAGCTCACCTATTTGTGGCTTAAGAAAGGCCATCTCTGATTGTGAGATGAATAACAAAACAGAAAGCATGTCACTTGGTTTTGCTCACACATTGCTCATGAAGGCGCTATCACATGAAATTCTGACAACTGAAGTAGTGAAGCTATCGTGCTAACAGTGCTTACCTAGGTAAAAAAATGTCCATCTTTGTTCTCTTTAAGCTGTTGGCCCAGAGGGTTATGTCTTTGGCAGAAAGGTGAGACTCAATCTGGGACAAAGGTGTTCTTTTGTGGTTGGGAAGCACTAGGAACATGCTGAGTTTCTCCCCCAGGTAGGGTAACTCGACCACACTGAAAGGCTCCAGAGCTGCAGTCTGGAACTGGCCTGTGGGTGGGCAAATGTAGATCTCATTTCATTATTGAAGTGGGAACACATTCCCCTCCCCTCTCCTCCCCACCCCCCCCCAACCCACAACCGTAGCTGGGGTCAGCAGACAGTTCAGAGCAGCTGTGGTAGGATTTAAGGAGTTGTCTGTAGTACATGGGTTCTTGTAGCCAGCTCATGTTACTATTAACTCACAATAGTCTCTCGCCTGAACAGAGCTGATGGTGAGAGAGATGTATGTATATTGGCAGAAAAGTGCTAATGCCAGTAATAGTACCCGAAGCACTGCCTCAACAGGGCATGGGCATTTTATTACTTTCTCATATAATAGCTGTCCTTCTTGCTCAGAGTTTAAAAAATATTACCAAGGCACTGACAATAACTATAATGACTCTTCCTGCAATGCATGTTCTTTGACTAAACATGCAATTTTATAATATCTTTCACTAAAATTAGTGCTGATAGAAGTTACAAAAACAAAAAGAAGTATCTTATTTAATTAACTGAAATCTACTTTGCCTCATATTTCTGTCTTTGTGACCTTTAAAAATCAGTTTTAACCTTATCTCAAGAAGCAAATGGTTATAGTAAACAATAGTTTATGCTTATTTAAGCATCATATTTATAATTTGATTCTACTCCTTCTTCACCTGGCTGTAGTAGTTGTATCTTCAAGGTGCTCACACTTGCTGAACCAGGGATTGTAAATAACAGAATATATGTAGCTCATGTTCATAATATCTAAATGTTTGGTAATATGTTCATATAGCTATAGGATGTCTGAAATACTTAGTGTACAATATTTTGTTAGATTTTGCAGATATGGACTAGATAGGATTCATAAAGTGTTGATTATTCTGCTAGATTAAATCTTAGACTCTTAGATGAGCCCTCCTGCCTTGCAACATGGAGAGAGAATTGCTCTGTTAAACCAACTCCCAGCATGTGGATCATTTGCTGGGAAAAGATGTTCTGGTTTCTAATGGGCAAACAAGGAAGATTTACATTTGTAGTGCACTGGGCATGAGTGGTTTAATATGCAGGCATGCTGATATTTTGAAGTCAGCACATTCTGTGCAAAGGTTATACAGTCCTTATTTGTTAATTAGAAAGAAAATCAAAGACTTTATATTATTGAGTCAGAGCATTTAGCGTTCCTTGCTTGAACTGATTTTGAGCATCCCATAAGGATTATACATATGCTAAATTAGAATTCAAATGTCGTTTACAAATTGCTTGGAAAAATGAATATGTAAAATAGCTGCAGTGTTTAAGAGGCATGTGTAAACAGTAATGTTGACATTTTCTTAGAGCAGTGTTACTTGTCCCCAGGCTGGTTTGTTCTGCGTGGCAATGTTAAAAGGATAAACAATGTTGTAAAAGCTGCAGCTGATAGTAGGTTACAGTTAATCTTTCTCACTCTGTGCTTCGTATCCTGGTGGGAGACAGCTACTATCACTTAATAATGACGAAACTTATCTTGGGTCTCTATTTAGTTGTACTGAGCCAGTCTTTTGCATTTGTTTCAAACTGATTTGTTAGAAATGTTTCTGGCATTTTTAGAGACAAAGAGGGAATTGGCCCAATCAAGTCTGACAATCAGCAAATTTTAAACGATGCCTTTCATTTTACCTTTTCTTAAAAGTCTCTCCAGCTGCAGAAAGCTCACTTACTTCAGGCTGGATTAGTATTTTGGCTAACTTTCCTTTTCCATGCAAATATTTAGTGCTTCAGCTACCTACTTAAGGACAATAGGATGGAGTTCTTGTGTTTAGGCAAGTAGTCAAATAAGAACTAACAATTTCTCATCAAGTTTGCAAGGATTCTGGTGCAAATATAGGGTCAGACAATGCAGTTCAGCTGCTGAATTCCTGGTCATTGGCTTTCCATGGCTATACCCACTTGTATAAGCACTGGCAGCCTCCTGACTTCTGTTGTTTTGGACCTCTCATTTCTTTATTTCACTTTACTAAAAGAGAAGCTTCAGAGAAAAGGTCCATTCTTAAGGCAATAGCTGTATTTGGGGAGCTTCTTTTGCCATGTGCTTCTGAAATACATGATGCTCACCAAGTATGTTCTCAAGAAACCTGTTTGTTTATCTCTTAAAGCAATGAAGGGTAAGGCTATTCAAGACATCATGGGTAGCAAAAGCCATGAGCTGGTAATACAAAATCACCCAGGGCTGAAAAATCAAGTTGATATAGTAGTTCATGTTGCTCAACAACAAGGAAGATGAGGTATAGGGTTTTGGAAAGGGAAGCTGCACTCCTCAGCAAAGTAGTTTAACTTGTAAAAGGTTCAAATGTAAATAGGATGGGAGCGCTTCAAGTCAGAGATGTGAATGCAGTCAGGAGCAGGCAGTCCCAGCAGGAGGAAGAAGTAGTGGTGGGCACACCATGAGTGTCTGGGAAGAAGAGACGGCACAAAGAAAGATGTAACTGTAAGGTCAAACTTGCAAAGACCAGAAGAAATGTTTTATTGACCAGGTGAATTATGGTTCAGAGATAAAAAGGCATAGAAATAATGAGCTGCCATCTGCCTGCTTGATGTGACTGTTGCACAGCAAAGGAAAATGTTTTAGCCATATAAGCTATTAAGCCATATAAGCTATTAGATATTTTTTTAGATTCCTGCCAATTATTTGTTGGTGCTGGTGGCAAAGGAGTAATCTGATAACAGAGCAAAAGATAATGGTGAGGTTCCTAATGGAAATGAAGAAAGGAGTAATTACACTATCAGACATGGAAACAAAGTTCACATTACTTCACATCAAAAGTTCACATCACATTAGAGAGATGAATAATGATCTGGAGCCTGGGTGATCACCACGCCAAAAATATGAGAAGAACTTTGATGTAGAATTGCAAACGAGCAAAATTTTTAATAGACTGTAATTCAGTTGTTTCCCATGATTGGAAAAAAGGAGTCAGTTTATAAAGAAAAAGAAAGTAATCTGGGAAGTTGTAGAAAGTACTCTGGAGAAAAGAATAATCAAATCACAGAGGGAAATAGAAAATGAGATAAATTGCAATAAAAAATAGACTAGCAAACAAATCTATTGCTTCAATAACTAATTTGATAAAAACTCATAGATCCAGCCATCTAGTTTTAGATAGAACAGTAAACATAATTTTACTGTGGCACTATTTACAGGTAAAAGTGATGGCAATTAGAGCAGGCAAAGAAAAGCAGCACACAGACAGTTGAAGCAAAAGTGGGGCTCCCAGGTTGAAAAGAGTTACTAGTGGCTTTCCAAAGTATTGTCCGCACTGAAGACTTTCATCGAAGACAGGGATTTGCCATGATGACTAGAGTGGTGGAAATCAAATGGTGGTTCAAAAACACACAAGGAAGGAGATACATGCATGTGGAGATTTCCCTCCCCTTGATTTACCTAGGACTCATCAGCTGGAAAAAAGGGCAAAAAGGAAAAAGGCCCAGGTGGGGCCAGCCTTGAGTAACCACTCTGAGCTGGTTCTGCACTACACTATGCAAGGTACTTTTAGGAAGACATAGAAATACTAAAGTCATTTTAACAAACATGAATATAGCTTCATTAAAAGTGTTGTTTACATTCCTGATCATTCTCAAGAAAGATTGATTTAAATTTGGAAAAGTGCAAAAAAAGAACTAGCAGAGAATTGGAGCCTGGTTTTTGAATAGCTTAGAAGAGCCAGCTTCTTCAGCTTATCTGACAGGAAATTGAGAGGCAGCTTGGTAACTTGCAAATGACATTTGGGAATAAATATCAAAGCTGAAGAGAAACTATTTAACTTAAAGCTGGCATGATGTTAAGGGATATAAATTGGTCTTGAAAAAATTTGGACTTGGAATGAGGAAGGTTTTTACCCAAGTGCACTTCTGAAATTTAGGGTAGAAGGGAGAGGAGATTTTTATATTTTTGAAAGAGATTGTATAGCTAACTGGCATAATTCCTGTAGGTAGAAAATTAAGCCTGCAGCATAAGTCCTCTTGTCAGCAGCCCACATACATCAAGCCTTTGAAAGTAGCCTACACTGAGTTCATATGGTATAAAAATAAAAGTTTGACCTATATTTATACTGGTTTAAGTCCATGCTGAAATCATGCACTGATTTGGTTTAAGCACCATAAAAAATTATTTTTTCTTGCAGAATTTGGCCCTGAAGATCTGCAGTTTTACCCTAAAGTCTTGGAAACAGGCTGTGACTAGAGACAAGAAGGGCAGGTGTGTAGTGCTGGTATTCCTGGTTATGCCATCCTCCCTCTGGTGCTCACACACTCAAACAACAAGCAGGGATTAGGTTGAGGGGCCAGAAAATTTTTTATCTACCCCACAAATCTAATTGGCTTGATATGGTTTTAGTCTTAACTACCCCTCTGTCATAGGGTCAAATGTGCTTCCCATGGTCCTCCTTTCCGAGGCAGCTTTATTTAACAAGCTCCATGCTATTGTAAAGGACTTTCTACACGGTGGTACCCTCAGTCTCCTATGTTCCTTTCTCCTGGTTCATTATCTTTGTGCCTTTTTGTTGTTTGCTACAGCTGACGAGTTTGTTATGGATTGGTGGAGGTGTGTTGATCTATGAAGAATGGGACAGGGACAGTAGATATTTTAGGAACCATTCTGAATGCAGAATCTGTTTAGTCAATGCCTGGGATTATATGGAGTCAAGTTGGCCACCTAGGTGGTCTCTTCATTTGATGGGATTTCTTCTGAGACTTCTCTAAGCTGTGAAAATAACACTATCTTAGCGTGTTATTTGTGGGAAATACATAAATAAAGCTGTTCCAGGTTGTACAATAGCTCAAATCTGGATTAAGGACAGTTACCGTAATTAACTTCGGCTGTATGATGCATTGTGGGCACTTTCAGGGTTGAGCCCTCTGATGTGGTAAAAGGCAACATCTGAGTGTCCACAAGAGAAAACTTCTTTTGCCACGTGCTTCTGAAATACATGGTGCTCACCAAGGCAACCTGGCTGAGCGACGACCCAGCAGTCTCCAATGGCACGCCACGCACATCCCCATCTGCATGGAAAAGAGACAGGGAGAGGGACACACCATCCTACTTGCCCAGGCCTAAAGGCCAGACTGTGTGACTAAATAAAGCAAATCAGGACTGCTCTCCACCCCTAAGGGCAAGAGGCAAAACTCATAAGGCACCGGTAATCCTCTACCTTCCCCTTCCCACATGTACATGGACCTCATCTGGATTGCCTGCTGGTCCATGCTCTCCCCAGAGCTGAGTTTGAGCTGGGCAGTGTTGAGAGTCAAAGCTGTGCCATCACTGTGCTACTTGCTGAGCAGTGCAGATGATGGCAGCCCAGTGCTCAGCACCATACCCTGGCTCCAACTGCTTTTCTAGGTCAAATGTGCCCGGGTGTACCTCAGAGTTGTTCATCATTAGTACCAGAAATACCTCATGGCATAACTACAGATTGCTTTATGGAGCAACTAAGTCAACTGGAGCTTATATCCTAATTTTCCCCTTCTCCTCTTTACTTGTCAGTTCAACTGATTCTGCTTTGGATATCTCAAAGATTTCTGAAAGAGTGATCCGCTTTTAATTCATTGATACTGCATGTGAGCACTGCAATATGACCTCCCATTTTAGTACTTGCTTCTAGAGCAATACATTTCTGTCATGGAGCTGGATCACTTTTTAGCGTTCACTTGAGAAGGACAGAATTTTTTTTTTCATTAGTTTCAACAGCTTTAATGTGTGTATTTAACATTACCTCACATGTTGCTGGCCAAATTAACATTCACATAACTTAAGTTGATGGGGCAAATCAAGGACTGATTTGCTCTGCTGCTTCTAAAGACTTTCTTTTCCAATTATTTTTTTCATTAACACAGAATTTAATTTCATTACTTTTCTTGCTTATGTGGAAAGTAAATTCTTTTTATTTCCTATTTTGACTTTTTAAACTCAGATTCTGACTGCTGAGCTTATGGCCCTCCATGTTCCCCATAGCACCATGAAAGCATTCGGTGCCATAAACATGGTCCCTGGGGAATTTGGCTGTTCCTCATTAAAAGTGAAAACACTGCAAAGGACTGCCATTTTAAAAATTAGAGGAACAAGGCCAAGTGGTTACCAGCTTGATACTGCAAATGTATACTCACAGGTTCAGGCCTATTCCCACTCTTTCATCACATTAAAAATGAGTGTCAGCACAAGAATTAGATTTTCTGGCCTTCAGCCTTGGTTTGGACAACTCAGAGTATGGCAAAAAAACTGTACTTGGTTAAATGCAATTTCTCCCATCACTCTTATTTTACTTTTATTCGTGTGCGTTCTTGTGGGTTGCTGTGTTACCTGCAAGGTTACTGGTGATCCATTCCTGTATTTGGGCCGCGGTTCTGTTGGGGTCAGTAAAGTTGGTTTGCTGCAGGCTGCTGTTCGCCCAGCGTGCAGCGTGTGCAGCAAAGTGGGGCGAGAGCTGCACGCCAGCATCCACAAAGAAGGAACACGCCAGCTGAACCACCGTGCCTTGGCTTGAGTCGGTCGCTCCCTCATACACCGTGCGCAAGAAGTCCTGCACGCTTTGATCTGCCAGGCAAGAGAGAGGGAGAAACTGCAACTGCCATGTTGAGGTTAAGGATTGCCCCAGGGCTCCGCAGCTCTCAGCTCCAGTGCTGACACCGGTGTCCTCTGATTGCTGAAGCACCATAACAATGGAAGCACCCTTGGCTTTATGGAGTATTACTGTCAAGTGCTGCTGCTGAGGGCGGTGATGCTCTAGGCATGGTATAAAGCACTCTTCACGTTGCTGTAGAAATCACTCTAGTGCAGATGTGTCAAGCAGCTGATCTCACTTCAGGTTCACACCTCTATGCAAACACGCTTCTGAACAGTTCTATAAGGTACATTATTTTTTGGTCTTGGGCCCTCTCTGAGTTCCCATTAGTGGGATCTAGTACCTCTCTCTTTCCTTCTCTTGCTATTATCCACCTATCCCAGGAAAGGCATCTCCCTGACAGCCCCAGGTCAGTCTCTGCCCCTCTTGGACCCTATTGTTTTGTTTCTTGAAGGATGGTATCCCAAACTGGTCCAGTATTGCTGATGAGCCTTGGCAATGCTAAACAGAACTGATGGTTGCTTCACATGTGTTACAAGTGACTTGTCTATACAGCCCACAACAATGTCTGGTTTTTTTTGAAGTAGAATTGTATTTCCCATTCAACACTATTTTTTGACTCATGGTTCCCCAATTTGAATGGTTGATTATTCCTTGTAAATGTAGAATTTTACACTTTCCCTCACTGAATTGTGTCCTATTCAGTTCACACGTTTCTCTGGCTTTCCAGGATCCTTTTAAATACTATTCTAGTCCTCCAAAATGCTTGTAGCAATTACAAGCTCAGTGTAATTCCAAAATTCAATAATGTATTCTTTGGTTTGCTGTCTACCAATGGAAATAGTTGAATAATGCCCTGGTCTCCTCTTTCTGAAAAGCTCATAGTTGTTCAACAGTGGTGGCTTCTGTGATGGATACATAGCTGAGGTGTGAGCCCAGAAGGAACATAAGTCCTGAAAACGCAGAGAATCCTGTCTTTTTAGAATCACTGAGTTCCCATAGACTCCCTTGAAGGGTGATTTAGGAGCCTTTATTTTTCTCAATTGGAATGACTTGTGATTGAATGGTTCATGACAAAGTGACCTCATGAGGCCTGGGACTCTCACCCCATCCAAACAATGTTTATGGGGTCTGTATCGAATCTCCTCAAACTTCCTGTGTTTGCAGTTCAGCCCCTTTCCTATATATCTTCTTGTATCTTGGAGGAGACTTGCCTGTGTCCATATAATAAAAGTCTTGTTGAGATTGCTACTTGCCTTTAAGACATTTTCAGCTGTAACTAAGTTTTCTATGTGGACTGGGAAATGTTTGGAGTACTGCTTTTCTTTAGCAAGACACCAGTGCCTTTTGGCTTTGTGGGATCACCAGGACCTTTCTGATTTCTGTGGGTATGGGCAGAGCAGGAGGGAAGTCAGACAGGACTACCATCTGGGACATGGGTGTTTTGGGGTGGCTAACCAGAGAAGTGAATCCCACATGGACTGACCTTTCCAGGCTAATCAAGTTAAGGGCCTCAGGTCAAGGGCAGGATCACTATGAGACTCCAGCTGCCAGACAGGTCATCAGGAGACTTTTACTGCATTGTTTCAGATTCTCGTGGGGCAAAAGACGAGTTTCTCATCTAATGATTTCTGTCACCTGAGAATCCAGAGTGTGTTTTCTGACCTAATAGTGCTACTCTAATAACCTGGAGGAAGACTTATCACCTATGGGAAGTTTGATATTAAAATTTGATTCTATTAATGTTTAAGGGATAAAATATTGAACTCCTTGAACAGATGTCTAGAAAACTCACATAATCTGAGGTGTAAAGTGCTTTCCTTGTGTGTTCTGCATTAGTATGGGAGCATCTGGCAAGCTCCCTGGAAGATGTGAAAAATTAAGGATGGCAAACTGGAAGTAGATGTGAATGTGAGGGGTAGTATCCCAGACTTGTAACTTCCCCAAAGTGCTTAGCTAACCGAAGTCCTGAGTTCTTACTTGGAGAACAGCTAAAAGTTGCCTTAAAATACTCTATTGTTGATAAAATAAATCATCTAGGAGAAAGCATTTTAAAGCACGTCATTTTGTTTGTGCTGTCTAGAGATACATCCCTTTTATGCATTGTTTTTCTTAGTATTAGAATAAAAGTGAAGAAATCTTCCAAACATTGAAAGAAGATTACAAGTGCATGCAAGAGCAGATTCTCCGTGAATAGTGAATAAACCATCAATGTTTTCATTGTTTTCAGCCTGCTAAGGTTTTAACCTCATCCTTCGTTATTGTTTAGGGCAGACCAACAAAAACATTGATGCAAACACCTAGTTGAAGAAAGGGATTTTATCACATATGCATACCCATATAATTTGGTTTTACTCATCTGATAGGAAATTTCATCTAAGTATTTGATTTATTTATTTGACTAATTTATTTGATTTAGACCATTTGAGGAACTGGTTTCCTTCCCCATTACGGGAAATATGCTATTATAACCAATAGCAATAGATCCCATCCTACTTTATTTTCACATTTATGCATTATTATTACTGAAAGCCAAAGCTCATGTGGCTTGTGCCACAGACAGCTAAAATGGAGATATAATGTCTGCTTGCTATGATGTAGCATGTGAGAAGAGAGCATAAAAGAGCTAGCAAGTCATTAACAACCTCTGCACTTCTCTTTGTTACATTTTCTGTGGAGATGTGTGCTTGAATTTCACTGTGATATGTTATTCTTTAAGGTTCTTTCTTTATAACTGAACCCTTAATGACCAGAAGTATCGAGCAAAGCATAACCCTTATATGAATTAATGTTGTTTAGGAACTGAAAATTTACTTCGAATTTACTGAAAATTTTCTTGAAAATTTATTTATTTACAGGTATAGGAGTCTTATAGGCAAGAGTTCATTGTATCAGCTGCTCGTAATATAGATGCACTGTTCCTATGTCAGTACATGTAGCTGATGGCTGTATCTTGATTTATCAGCCAGAGTTAGCTTACTGCTGTGTTGGTTTTGAATATTAATCTTGTACAGAATGGTGATGGTAACTAAGTCAGGTTACAGCACAGGAAGATGAAATTACTGTTGGTTTTATCTTTAGTTTTTATTCCTTGAAAGTGAATTTTATGCTGAGAAATAGCAGTGTCATGTCTATACATAAGTCTTGTATATAAGCTGCAAATTTTGAAGATGAGGCAGTCATCTGCTTTTCATAAACATTCTGCCCATAATGTAAAATAGTTTTTGACATGTGATGTGAGATGGTAGGATAATCCAAAGCTAAAATGAAAACAGCATCCTTAAATTAAGCTGACTTAATGCTGGATTTAAAGACATCTGTCTTTCCCACATCCCTTCCAAATTCCCAGTGAGTTTTATTTTCGCCTGCTTTCAGGGAAAGATGCAACTGCACCATCCATCTGTCAATGTGTATCCCTGTCTGCCAATCTCCTTCTGATAACTTTTCATCTTTTTGGCCAGTTGTAATAACATCGTAGGTCTTAAAGATAATTCAGCTTCTACAGCTTTCATTTGTTAATGGATGGGAGAGAGAACAACTCTCCTCTGCCTGGCACCTCTTTGCAGAACACACAGGGGAGAACACAGCAAGGTGGACACGATGAACCTCTAGGAAATCTGGAGCAATTCTGCTGTTCATGGAAGTGGCTTTTCTAAATGTAGCTGTAGTTTTGTTCTGTGAGTAAGCACTGATTCAGGAAAAAGTGGAACAATAACACATATATCAGCTACTCCTTTGAGTTTCCTTTGTCCAGATGATACCTGCCTATCAAAGATGGAGAAAACACCCCTAAACTAGATCTTGCAGTGAGACAAAAAATGGAAGTTTAGTATGACGTGTCCCATTTCTGCCTCCTTATTAAGCTGTGAATTTATTAAAAAATGTAGGACAATATGTATTTTTTTTTAAGCAGTACATACCATGAATGTTGTATCCTAGGGCATCCTGCAGCTCTGTAAAGGTATTTCCTTGTGCTCCAAACTGCAGCAGCTCCAAAGAAACAGCCACACTTGCTGGAGAGACTACCAGATTTGTTCTATTCTCTGCTTCAGATACATGCCTGTAGAGCCTGATGGCAAATTCAGTTTTCAGCTCTTTCAGCTCATCATAGGAGACACAGTTTCCTTTGGTTAAGCAGCAAGCAGACAGGATAAATGCAGAGAAGAAAATGGGCAACATGGAGGCAAGCTGGGAACACTCTCCACCAGCTAATCATACCTGCAATTAATAACACAGATATATTTAGGAAAGTAATAGGCTGAGAGACAGAGAAACTTTCTCATTCCATCAGTGCTGAGATATCACTGGCAATAGTAATGATCACTATTAAAATACTTGTCCAGGTCTACTCAGTATCTGTTGTCATTAAAAAAAAGAAAAAAAAAAAAAAAGGGACATGCTGATGACTCTGTTGACTAACAAGGATTGAATTTTCCAGAATGCTGCAGCATATAGGATGGTTGGACATTACAGAGTCCCTTGTCTCCCTTGTGTGGAGACAAAGAGCCCCTTGGTTAAAAAGTTAGCTACCTGAAGACATGATGACTGCACTGAGGTGCAGTCTCCAAGCTGCTGGGAACCCACAGCTTCTTTCTGTCCCCAACTCCCCCAGAAGAAAGGCCACCCCTCATGAGGTGCAGAAGTCTAACTGGAGGCTCCAGGCTGGGCTTTAGATCCGAATTTGCAAAAGGCTGGCTTCAAATTTCCCCGCAGATATTCCTCCTATGAAATTTATCCCAGTGAAAATAAGGTTGTATTTGCAAAAGGTTCTGGTGCTTGCAGCACAAAATCATCATGTCGTATTTTTTTTTTTTCTGAAATCAAGAATTCGTCAACTTTATATAAAGAGACACTTAAGATTCATATTAGAAGGTATAATGCTAAAATGACAGAATAGCTTTCCTTACAGAATTTCACCTTCTGAAGATTGTATGCAAGTATATTTTAAAAATTACTGCACCTTCTTTCACCTCAGGATTTTCTACAAATCTTTCTCCATGCCCTTTGCTCTAGAGAACACCTCTAATGCTTTGCATTTACTCACAGTTAGCTCTGTTAAATTGTCTTGCCTTTCTGTGTCCTTCTGTGTGTCTGAATGGAAGCTGTCTATGAACGTCTTGTCTGTCTCCTTCTTTAATAGGTAGTGGAGTAAAGACTAAGTCATGAGACTGCATTTAAAGGGATAGTCAGTGATCAGAGTCTCTGTCGGCGATGTCTGTACCACTCTGTCCAAATTCCTGTAGGCTACAAGCTCTATGGAGAGCCAGGCAAAGCAGCATGCCACTGACCAGCAAATCCATGGCAAGGAACAAAAAGGTACACATGGAGATAGAGTCAGCAGCTTCCTTGCAAGCCCTACTCGAGCCTCATGAGACTTGTGACCTGCTGGTACCGAGCAAGGCATCTCCTATCTCTCTTCCCACCCCCCTCCTTCTTTTATATGAATTCCATTGATTCCTCTGCCACAAAGGGGAAGAGAAAGGGCTCTCTGTGTACCAGGCACACAGCTATTTTTTTACCCCCACTTTGAAAACTTATTCAGAAATCCCATGCAATTAAAATGTCTTTATTTCCCCCTTCTTTTTAATTAATGCCATCCCAAATAACAAGATTTTCTTTTACTCTTTAGTTTCCAGAAGGAAAGAAACAACAACATGGTGCACTTGAAGGAGGTGCTTTGAATGGACCAGAAGCAGAAGAGCTGTGGCTGTGACTGCTTTAAGAGCAGTTGTAGCTGTTCATGGCTTTCTTCGTGTGATGGGGTTAAAAATCCTCCCCCTCACATTCACAGGTTCAGCCTCACAGGTTCAGCCTCACAGCTTCACAATGCCAGTTAAAGAAAGATTTGGGCTTAAAAATTAATGTAAAACTGCAGTTTATTGGTCTTCACAGAGTTTGACACCATATATATATATATATATATATATATATATATATATATATATATACTTAACTGCTTTACAACATACATTCCTGTTGGAAGAAGACATTGGGAAAAAGTTCATTACAATCAAGCAATAATTTAGGTGCAACTGTTTTATTCTTAACAGGTAAGGAACAGCTTCACAATGGAATTAGGACCCAAATGAGAATGAAGCAATGGGCCTCCCTTCCTCTGTACTTGTGCTGTTCCTCTCTTTCTGCTGTTTTGAGAAGACATCAGAACAGATATGGATACTGGGGTCTGTTTTTTAAGATCCTGGGCTTTAGACCACATTCCTGCTAGGACCAATGAAGGGGAAAAGCTTGGTCAGTCGCAGCCTAGTACAACAGGCAGGGATGTTGCTTTTGCTAGGGATTTCAATAAAGTATCCTTATGCTGAAAATTACATTTGAGCTTAAGAGTTTGGCTGAATGAGGACCTCTCTGTTGAAGTTATCATTAACAGTGTCCACTGGACTGGAATTGTATTCGGAGGGAAGGAAACAGAGACCACCAAGTGATTTCTCAAAGGGCTCAGAGCTGTCAACAGATAAATTAACTGTGGTCACTGGTGAGGACTATACAGGTGGATTTGATATGATGTTCCCAGAGGCTCCAAACCCGATAAGACATTTCCTCTGTGCCCTGCTTGATACTCTCCTATGGATTTATTATGATTTAAAAGTAAGATAAGGAGTCCCTGGAGGTTTTAGGCATGATTGTCAAAAATTAGCATTCAACTGCCATTTTGCAAAAATGGTACTATCACATTTGTGATATGTATTTATGGAAGATGTAATTGAAAATTGCACCTGGTATGAATGTTGTGTAGAGCAGCATAGTTTCAGTGGGAATGGGTAATATATGTTCTGGGTCTTGTCTCATCACAGAGGGGAACTTAGAAATTGGGGAGGTTGTTTCAAATCCTCCCTCTCTGCACATACTTTAGGAAAGGAAGGATGTGGAGGAACCTTAGCAGCAAAAGCAGTGTTTGCAGACAAGGAGAGAGGACTTAATAAAACTAAAACTGGATCAACACTGTACAAAGCAGCCATGGGAAATAAGAAATGTGCTTTACATATAATAAAAAGAAAAGAAATCCTTTGGTGAATGACGAGAAAGATAGAAGGCACTGGAGTAAGAAAGAAGTAAGAGTCAGTGAAACTACTGTGACTAAAAAAGAAGTCATAAAATACTGGAGGAAGGTTGTGAATATTTATCATAATCAAGGTCAGAAAAAAAATTCTCACACCTGTTCACTTTAGCAACCCAAGTTTTAAGTTTTTATTCCCAAGACTGAGATCCAAGGTTGACAGCTAGGTGTCTGTGGAGAAGCTGGTGCCACATGAGGATGAGCCTGAAAACTGAGTTTGCCAAGTGAGTCCATGGAGCCAGGAACTGAGCTGTCCAAATGAGTGGAGTTTGGGGGGGCCTGAAAATCAAATAAGCTAATTACAGAAATCCTGTGTTAGAAATAGAGGTGTCCTGGACCTACTGATGTAGTAGGGTTGGGCTGCTTCTGAGAAAGGGAGTTTCTGGGACTTTGTAAAGGATTTCGGCTTTTTTTTTTTTTTTTTTTTTTAAGCATCTTCCTACCTGCCTGTGTCCTAGTTTAGGCGTTACATCCTTCTTTGGTCTTAATCTGGCTATGCATCACAATGTACTGAGAAAAGCACTGATACATTTTCTGGAAATAATTTTATTTTTAAGATAACTCCTCAAAGCCAGAAAGGGGCAGAGGTTGCAGCTGTATTTTGAGAAATGGTTTTTCACACTGAGATAACTTAGACTGCCTCTGAGGGAACTGAGAAAAGGCATAAGCTGAGGATGTCTGGAGAAAACACAGCACAGGGATGTGTGTGTAGGAACCTGGATCACAGAATCCTGTGTCTCTGTGGAGGTCCTCTGAGCATCTACAGGTGCAGCTCTGAAAACTGCAGAGGGATCCCAATCTCTCCATTCCCTCACTGAGCAGGAAAACCACCACTCTTTGAGAGGGAAAACAGGAAAGAGCTTCCTGATGTGTGAACAGCCCCCAGACAGGGAGCAAACTGGTGGAAAGCACTGGAGACAAGCCATAAGTGGTGACTGTTTTCATCAATGGATTAGATCCTGTCTGTGTCTGCAGTGTGACAATGCTGTTACTGCATGGGCCCTTGATATCCTACGTGACCATGATAGTGGGCAAGGGAACAGACTGCTGAAGCACCCACAGTTGCTCAGCACTGACAGATGCCATCATAAGTGGCTCTGCAATGTCTTGTCTAAAGGAATGAAGAAATAGAAAAAGAAAGATGAGGAAAAGATAAACAGTCAGAGGCAACTGTTCTCCAGAACGTCATCTTCAAGGTGTTTGTGGGCCAGATTCTACTCTGAGGTAGAGGACTGCGAAAGGCAAAATTGAGTCCTGGAGCAGATGGAGAACTGCTGGAGGACTGTGGGCTGTGGAAAACAGACTCAGGGTTGAGCCTCCATGGCATCAGGGAGGAAGGTGAGGAACTTGTTCAGCCCCGGTAGCACTAGAAGTCACAGGACTCAAATGAGAAACCAGAGGGAAAGGCAGAGCCTGCATGGGCATTAGGGGCAGAGAGAGATTTATTTGGAAACCTTTCCCCACAACCAATTGTTTCTCATAAGAGACTGGAGTTTTCTCTGATTTATTAATCTGTGTTCTAAGAAAATCAAGCCCTAGTTTGGTGTGGCTGCTGAGAGGAACAAGGGAACAGTTCTTCTTTTGGGCTCTGGCCAGTTTGGTCTTCTGCTGCATGGACTTTACACAGTGATCTGGATCAGAATTTGGCCCAGGGAAAGGCTGGAAGATAAAAGATAAGAGAACCAGTTGGGGACCAGGTTTGCCTTTTCAGAACCCTCTTGCTTGCGTTTCTGTGTCAGGTCAGGCTCCTGTAATCATAGAATCACAGAATCAGCCAAGTTGGAAAAGACCTCTGAGTTCATCAAGTCCAGCCCTTGATAATCTTCCTTCCTCTCTAGCACAACCCTATTATCAGTAGGATTACTATATGCTTACCCCCTCATAAATGATAACAGAATTTAACCTTCTATCTGCATCTGGTCTTTGTGTGCTTGCTCTCTTTAACATATAGAATAACCCTGGGGAAATTAGATAGAATCCAAATCAACTTCCTTCCTGCTTATATCTCCTCCAGGAGAGAGCCTGCACTGCAAGACACTAGCACATTTGCTCTGTCAGGAAGGTGGTTCTGCTGAATCTCAGAACAAGAAAAATTTGCATCATC